CACTTACACAAAGTGCAGGTGCCAGGTATACTCCTAAAATACAAGGTCCTGGGAACATCAACAGTTGCACTAGAAATCTTCTCGAGGTAGAGGAGTGACTGGCTGTTTGACTGAAATTGGACCTCTACACTTGTTACCAGTCAATCAAGCGCCACAGGTGTAAAAGTGCATTTACCTCCTGTTACAAAGGAACTTCTAGGCACTGCCACTGGTGCCAAACAATTCCAGATGCAAATATACAACTAGGGACTCTAAGTCAAATCCAGTTTGGCTGATAGAACTTTTCCATATACCGTAAAAGAAGACCCCCAAAAGATCGCAAAATTCCTTTGAATGCAATTGTTTAGCATGTCTTCTAATATAAAATATTACTTTTTCCCATGCCTAGATAAGACAGATCAAGCGTGAATGTGCCTCCCATTATTTTTCCAGAGGTTCTGTCATGTTTCTTCATTCAGGAAGGCAAAATAAGACAAATAGACTTCATAAGCACTATGACAGTGATTGATTACTAGAAATGACACCATATGATCTACTGTGCTGACAGACAGAGGCTGAAGTTTAACAAACTATGCACACAAAACCCATAAACTTTAGCAGTCAAGATTCAATCTTGTGAAAATTATATAATGATTTTTTGGTTAAAACGGGAATGGAAGTACTCACACATGTGCTTTATCCTGCCTCCTTCTACAGATTTCCTTTGTTAGCTTGGACAAGTGACTTCAGGCCAGGCTCCAATATACTTAATTTTGAAGCACTGTGAGGCAGTGGCTTTCATTATTTTCAGGCAGTTAGGCCAGTGCCTCCTATTGGTTGAATGGTTTTAGCCATCCACGGAAAACAAAATGATCAGAGGAAGCACAAAAGAGAAATAATTCCTTACCACCAAACCCAGTCTTTTGGACATATCTCCCTCACTGAGACATAAATAGATGCTTTCTTTTTTTTCTCTCCCTTCTTTAATCAGGGTCTCTTCTTGGTCATTGTTCAACTCCTCTTAAAACATCCTTTTGATTTTTTATATAAGCTTCACCTGAAGAGAACTGTGGAGCCATAATGCATGACAGCAGCATGACATGTCCCTGGTTTTGAGGTGGACTGAAGGGTGAGAGTGTGAGCATGTACTGTAGAGCCAATCAACCTTCAATCCTATTCTGTCCTTTTTCTGACTCCTGCCAGGACCTAACAAGCTTTTACCAAGTATATGTAAACACACATTTGCAAAAACAAACACCTTGGTTAAATTTGATCAATCTTCCTTCTGGCTTATTTGCTTCACCTTGACCCCTTAGATAAGCCTCATGACTGTCCAATGGATAAGCTTCAAGAGGTGGGCTAGCAAGGGTCTTGACTGATGTCTAGCCCATAGCCTGATCATCAGAGAACTTGGTTAATGTGAAGCAGGAAGGACAGGTTAAAACCCTTTCTGTCTGAAGGGTCTACATATGTTCTAGCTACTAGCGAGGAGGTCTTCTTCCTTGTCCTAGCTCTGTTTTTTTCTGCAATTAAAGTTTCAGATCATACATACGACTTACATGTGTGCCCAAATGATTCTATGCCCATAGACACAAGTTAATCAAACAACTAATGGAGAAAGTGGGGTACCAACCATATCTCTAGCCCATATGCCATTTTATCAGTCCCTTTGAGCTCAATGAGTCAAAGACCTGAACAAGGAAAAACTACTACCATAGGCAATGACAGATGTAGGCTTAAGCTACCTAAGCTACAGTTTAGGGCCCCACAGTATGAAAGGCCTATAGATAAGAAAACCCCCCTGGACATTTCCATTCTAATATGACCAAAAAATACATATGTATTTCTCCAGTTATTTATATTGAATTCATAATTTTTTATGGAAATAACAATAATTCATCTTAAAATTTCATTAAAATCAATTTTCATGGATTTCATGTATAATTTTTATCGTATGGGGCCTCTTCAACTGGACGTAGCCTAGGGCCTCAGCATGTCATAGTCCAGCACTGGCCATAAGTAAAATCTGGGGAACAAGAAAATAGAATGATAGACATTTTCTGCAAGTAAGCTTCTCACTTGCTTTCTGGAACTCCTGCTTATATAGTGTGCTATAAAGAACATCCATGGCAGCTTGAACAAAACCTTTAAAAAGGTAACACTTCAAATCAAAAACCCAGTAACTATTATCAATAGAGATACCCAGAGAGTCAGTGGTGGATGGGTTGTACTCAACCTGGTGAGATGTGAGCAGTGGGGTACCCCAGGACTCGGTCCTCGGGCCTGCACTGTTTAACATCTTCATCAGCGACTTGGACAGGGGGCGTGGAAAGCACATTGTCCAAGTTTGCTGATGACACTAAGATGTGGGGCGAGGTGGACACACTTGAAGGAAGAGAGAGGCTGCAAATAGATTTAGACAGACTACAAAAGTGGGCAGACAAGAATAAGATGGGGTTCAACGTAGACAAATGCAGGGTGCTGTACCTTGGGAGAAGCAATCCACAGCATACACACAGGCTGGGGAGTTCCCTTCTTGAAAGCACAGAGACAGAAAGGGATCTTGGAGTCATTATTGACTCCAAGATGAACTTGAGCCACCAATGCCAGACCGCAGCCAGCAAGGCCAGCCATACCTTGTCATGCATCCAAAGGTGCATCTCAAGTCAGTCCAGAGAGGTGATACTCCCCCTCTATGCGGCTTTGGTCAGGCCGCAGTTGGAGTACTGCATCCAGTTCTGGGCACCACACTTCAAAAGGGATGTGGCCAGCCTGGAGAGG